CCCTTCTAAACACTTGTTATCTCAGTGTTAAGACTCTTTGGAGCCCTGAAAGAGTGGGCCCCGCTGTGTTCTGGGGTGCTGTCTTTGCTCCCACTGCACTGTGTGGAAGCAGAAGTATGATTCAGGGTACTGTCTCTTCCAGGGTCTTAAACTTTGGGTTCCCGTGTCACTTACTTTTTAGAATGGTGTCCATGAAGCAAGCCGACTTTGGGACAACATGCGGAAGCTGGGGGAATGCAAAGAAGAGGCATACCAAATGACACATGATGGTAGGCAGCTTTCCTAGCATGGCTGTCTATTAGATGGAGCTGCTTTGCTTATTACTTGTGACTCTTGGTTCCTACTCTCTTCTAGGCTATTTGAAACTCTGGCAGCTGAGCAAACCTTTGCTTGCCTCTTTTGACGCCATCTTTGTGGATGAGGCCCAGGACTGTACCCCAGGTGATAAACTATTCAGGACATCAGTAGGACATATGTGTCTCAAATACCTAGAAAGAGCATCATGATTATGTAAGAGGACCCATACATGGAATAAGTTGTTGTTCTTATTTGTATTAAAGAAGAGGAGCAAATGATTCTTAGTCTTTCAGAAATTAGACTTACGATTTCCATGGTTGTCTATTCCCCACACCTGAAGTAGATTTGTCTTCCTCTATATGTTTTACTGAAGTTGTTCCTAAGATGCTGAGTGACTACATCCTCAGCATATAGGGACCTAGCCTCATGCTGAGTGAGAAAAGGTAGTTGATTTAGAGTGCAATTTTGTGTTGCACGGCTAGAAGAAAATAGACAGTATTAAAAAATTGACTTTCTAGGTAATTTGGAGGTATGATAATTTTAGAATAGAAAATTACATTTGTCTGTATATTTTCTTATAATCAATTCACCCAGGGCTAAAAATAATCTACATTCCTATTGCCAGATACTATGCCCAAGATTAAATCGAGCCCGTTTTTAGAATGCCTGCCCTGTAGGGAAAGAAGGTTTTGTTGTTTATCTTGGGCTGGTTTAGTTTTGGTTTGTTTTCTTTCTTAAATATGGCTTCTTTGTGCTGTGTGGATTGTTGCCCTTCAGATTTCTCACTTTTCCCCTTGCTGGTTGCAGCTATCATGAACATAGTTCTGTCTCAGCCATGTGGGAAGATCTTTGTGGGGGACCCCCACCAACAGATCTATACCTTCCGAGGTGCAGTGAACGCTCTGTTCACAGTCCCCCACACCCACGTCTTTTATCTAACACAGGTAAGAGCTTGTACTTGTCCTCAGGCCCTAGCACATATAAGCAAGCAGTCTGCTTTCCCTCTTAGTTTTTGAATGTACCAGCACTGTGGAAGAGATATTTTATTTTCCACAAATAACAAACCAGTTTATTGTTAAAGCCAAAGTCCATGGTTCATCATATTTCTTTAGTTTTTGCTGTTTAGAATTGTACATTATGGACAGTCATGCCTGCTTCTAGTTTTCTTTGAAATGATATCTTATCAGACTTAACCTTGGTTCTGATGACATTGATAGTTTTCTGTACTAATCAAGTAGTTTTAGTATGACTGTGTGCTGAAACTTCTCAGGTGCCTTTTCTCAAGGTTAGACAAGGGTTATGGTTTTGGAAGAATCACAGGGTTGAGGTGCCATCTCTTTCATGGTTTCAAGGGTATATATTATCAATATGGGATGTGACTATTGATGCTAACTTAGATGCACTCAGGTTCCTCCACTGCAAAGTCTCACACAGGAGTGAGTGTTGGAGCATCTGTATAAATTATCTGGAGTTATGTAAAAGAGATTCTTTTTTTTCCTCTTCCATTACAGGATAGCATAAGGCTGGGAGTTTTTGTTTTGTTTTGAGTCATGTATGAATGTCTGTTTTACAAATAATTTGATCATGATTTGCTCTGAATAGTTTTATAGCAAGAAAGTCCTGTTGAAAGTTGTGTTTTGCTCTTATTGGTTGCAACTATATGACATAATTCATGAAATAGACAACATGATTACTATTCGCCAAAGTGTGCCTTGTTTTATTTTATTATGGATACATGGGGAAAAGGCAGTGAAGTTTGGGAAGATTGGAATCTTTCCAGAAGATGTGGTCAGAAAATAGGGTCTTGGGCCGAGTGTTGAAGGATAGGAACCTATTTAGAAAGGTAAAAGGGTGGTAGGAACAGCGTGGGCCAAGACATATGGAGATTGCTCATGTTGGCTTTTGTTTTTTTCAGAGAAGAGCTCACTGTACATCTAGCTCAAACTGGCCTTGACCTTACCCACTGTCCTCCAGCCTCAGCCTCTTGAGTTCTAGGGATTATGGTCATACACCACCACACCTAATTGAGTTTTTTTCCTTTTCTTTTTTTTTTCTTTGTGGTATTGGGGGTTGAAACCAAGGCTTGTGCTTGTCAAGCAAGCTCTCTATGAGTGTTCTATATCCCAATCCAAAAAATGCTCACGCAACAGAGTCAATAAGTTGATGTTGAAAAAGGTCTTAGAGCCAAGGGCAAAACCTCTGCCCTCTCTTCACCTTTGTGTAATTTAAACTCCACAAGATGGGACTTGAGAAAGGGCGAGGGGAGATTTGCTTGGAAGAAGTTTACAGTTGGTGGACAGTTGTAGAGATAGGCTGTCCAGAGAGTGGAGGATCCTGCCTGGGAGGGGCGCATTTCTCTCCCTGTATGTCTTATGCTTCTCTTTTCATAGCAAGAGAAGAGCTCAGTTAAAGTGTTTAGGAAAGATTACTCTGTCAGAGGGCACAGAACTGTGTGAGTGTGAGATCTGAAGTAAGGGTCAAATAGGTGAGCCGAGAAGTTTGAGCCGAGTGAAGCTGAAGACAGTGGTAAGAAAAGGAGTGTTGATTGTGTGTGTGGGACACTGGGTGATGGATCACTTCAGGGTCTCAGGGTGGAAAGTGGCATTATTGGGGCTGGAAAGATGGCTCACAGGTTAATAGTGCTTAGTGCTCTTGCAGAGAACCCCAGTTCAGTTCCTTGCACCCATACCACCAGCTCTAGAAGGATCTTTTGCCTTTGACGTGTGTGGACAACACTGAGTTAACACAAACCCACACACAGATACCCAAACATACACCTAATTAAAAATGATAAATCTTTAAAAGGAGAAAGTGCTGTTGTTTATAGAATCAGTAATTTTTCAATCATTGGACTCCTTTTTGTGTCTAAATGATTTTACTTAGTGAAGTTCCATGTCCTTCCCGTGTAGGGTGAGTCAGGCCTTGGCAGTGACAGACGAGAGCTCACGTCTCTGAGCAGGTTGCTAACTGCATTTGCTGTATTCTTTTACAACAGAGTTTTAGATTTGGTGTGGAAATAGCTTATGTGGGAGCTACCATCTTGGATGTCTGCAAGAGAGTCAGGAAAAAGACCCTGGTTGGAGGGAACCATCAGAGTAAGGCTTTCTGGTTTTTATCTTGGTTTGTTTTTAACCAGATTGGTTCTCTTCTATATCTTGATTTGCATGGAGTCTGCACTTTGTCCTTCAGGTGGCATCAGAGGTGACGTAAAGGGACAGGTGGCCCTGCTGTCCAGGACCAATGCCAATGTGTTTGATGAGGCTGTCCGGGTCACAGAAGGAGAGTCACCTTCAAGGATACATTTGATTGGGGTAAGAGTAAATTGTTGACTGCTTCATGCATAGAAACAGGTCAGACCCAGGAAAGCACTAGTGTCCTTAGGATCTTGTGCAGAAAAGCCTTTGGATTTTAGATTCTCCCTGGGCCTCACTATGACTGGACACTCCGTGCTAGTGAAGCCGTCCTGTGGAGTCAGCCCCAGTGAGTGAATGAGCGCTCTTCGTACATTTGACTGTGATGGAAGGCTCTTGGCTCCTGGTTTGACTGCATGTTGACATTAGTAGAAGCACAGTTAAGCTGATGACATCGGGTAGCACCCGGTTCCCTGAAAGAAGGTAGAAAGAACGGAACACCTGGGCTCTCTGGTTCTGTCACTGACTTGTGTGGCTAGGGGCAAATCACCACTGTGTGCCTCATTCTCCACCCAAAGATGCAGCAGTGCCGTTTGCCTGTTTCTTGGGCAGAGATGTGTTTGTGGAAGTTATATGAATAAAGGGCATTTATAGAAAAATATTTTTAAGGGCCTACTATATGTTGGGCAGTCAGTAAAATATTAAATCATAAAATATTTCTTTCTTTTGTTTAACATAAATATTATATAGAAATTTTGACACCAAAAGGGAAAAATCACATTTAACTCTAGTATTTCCTAGAAGTCTCATTTTTGCTGATTATTTTTGTCTTTGTCCTTATAAATGCATATTTTACATAATTACTGTTAATGATATACATAAAAGAACTGTTATTTTCACTCAACATATCAACAGTTTATTTGATCATTGTATTGCTGTCTCTAATATTTCATCTGGTACTTATAATCATTTTCATTATTGAAAGAAGATAGTAATTTTGGAATATCATTGGCTATGAAGTGTCTTATTCTCCCTCTTCTACATTCACTTGTACCTGTGACATGTATTATGGTGCTTAATCATACACTTGGTGGAAGTGTACACTGCCAAGTGTTATAGCTGTGACCGTCACCAAAGGACGAGAACTTGTGAGAGGCGGAGTCCTTGTCACGGCTGTCTCCTGTGCTAGGTCTGGTTCCATACGAATGCTGGAGTCACAGACAGTACCCGTCAGGCACTTCTAGGATAGAAAAGGGCCAAACCCATGGCACAGTCAGGGCCTTTCCACCAAGAGCTGGTTCTGGATTACAGGATAACTGGACCAGGAGACACCCTCTAGTTGTTCACCGTAAGAAACCGTGGTGAGCGTGTTGCCTGCCAGCTGTACTTAGTTATCATTTGTGTCCGTGTTCCGCCACTGCCGTATCTATGGAAGGCAACTGAACCGTGCCTTCTTACCCAAGACAAAGCAGTGTGTGGCTGGGGCTTTCCTTTGTAAAGCGTAGGTAGATTTTGAGGCAGTAGCTCAGTGCTTTCTGTTTCCTGTGTGTGTGCTTTAACAATATTTGTGATCTGTTTCTAAGAAACCATCTCCTTTCAAAATTCCATTTCTGGATTTATTTTGTTTTGTTTTGATTAAAAAAGGCAAAACAGACTTCCTTTTAAGCTAGGCGCCTGGGAGGTGGGGCCCACGCGGAGTCAACATGAGGATCGAGAAATGTTACTTCTGTTCCGGGCCGATCTACCCTGGCCACGGCATGATGTTCGTCCGCAACGACTGCAAGGTGTTCCGATTTTGCAAATCCAAGTGTCATAGAAACTTCAAGAAGAAGCGGAATCCACGCAAGGTCAGGTGGACTGAAGCCTTCCGGAAGGCAGCTGGCAAGGAGCTCACGGTGGACAACTCATTTGAATTTGAAAAACGTAGAAACGAACCTGTGAAGTATCAGCGAGAGCTGTGGAATAAAACTATTGATGCAATGAAGAGGGTTGAAGAGATCAAACAGAAATGGCAGGCCAAGTTTATAATGAACAGGTTGAAGAAAAACAAAGAGCTACAGAAGGTTCAGGATATCAAAGAAGTCAAACAGAACATCCATCTTATCCGGGCTCCTCTTGCAGGCAAAGGAAAGCAGCTGGAGGAAAAAATGGTACAGCAGTTACAGGAGGATGTGGACACAGAGGGCACTTCCTAATGGTGCCGCCTGCAGCCAGCGCTGTGCACACTGGAAACCAGTGGAGACTGTCGGTCCCTAAGTTATTGATTGGTTACATAATGTCCCCCAGGCAAAGGTGACTCAACGTGCTTCTCTCTACAGTGCAGCCTGTAAAAGCATCCATTGCGGGTATTAGGTCTCAACTCAATGTTCTGCTTCACTGTGTTATGCTCACAGAAACACGAAAGTTTGTGTGTAGATGAAGGTGTGAACCCTGGGCATAACATGGTTGAATTGTTGCTTAATGGCACCAGGCAGCATTTCTGCACTATCATGCTAATGTAAAATTTGTAATAAAGTAATATTTTTTTTGCAAAAAAAAAAAAGGCAAAACAAAACAAAAATTCCACTGAAAATTTTTCAGGGAATTAAATCATTTGGATTGGACAGAATCATTGACATTTGGACCCTTCTTCAGCCAGAGGAAGAACGGAGGAAACGTGAGTACAGGCCTGGCTTCAGAGTGTGGAAACCAGCCATCAGCTAGGGTTGGGAAGGGGGGCTGGTCCTGAGTCAGGGTTCTTTTTGTTTGCTTTTGTTTTGATTTTTTTTTTTTTTTTTGAGACAGGGTTTCACTGTAGATTTGGAGCCTGTCCTGGAACTTGCTCTGTAGACCAGGCTGGTCTCAGACTCGCAGAGATCCGTCTGTCTCTGCCTCCCAAGTGCTGGATTGAAGGCATGCACCATCACTGCCCGGAGCCAGGATTCTTGTTCTTCCTCTGAGGAACTAGTTGGCTCTTCTCCCTAGAGGGGGGATATCTGGGACCTGTTTTTAGAACTGCTGGCAGGTTTTTCCAGATCCTTCTCAGTAGTCTCAGTAATTGCCAGTGTTGGTGCTCTAAGCCACCTTCTCCTGCATTCTTCTGCCAGCTGGGCAGCTATACACCATTGCTTCTCTGGACCGCAGATTAACCCCTAGTGTTTCTGTGGTACTTTTTCTCCTTAATTATACTATTTCAAATGTCTGTGAAGTAGATGAGGTTCTTGAGCATCTTGTAATGCTCAAGTTGGAGACTTCGAGGCCACTGTACTGACTTGCTCAGGGACACAGTGACCAGTCAGGACTGCTGCCCTGAGTCTCCCAGCTCTAAGCCCATCCACGGTTGTACTCTGCTGTGTTGGACAGTCTCTCTCATTTTCACCTGGGCATGTCTCTTCCTTAGGCAACCTTATCATTAAGGACAGGTTCATCAGAAGATGGGTGCACAAGGAAGGCTTTAGTGGCTTCAAGAGGTACGTTACTGCTGCTGAGGACAAGGAGCTGGAAGCGAAGATCGCGGTAGTTGAAAAATACAATATCAGGATTCCGGAACTAGTAGAAAGGATAGAGAGATGCCACATAGAAGATCTGGACTTTGCAGGTAAGGAAAGCAGCTGTTACCTTCCCTTCAAGAGGAGGGGCGGATGGTCTCTTGAAGTACCTCCGCGTCTGTGGCTACCAGTGACTGTGCTCATTAAGACAGAGGGGACAGGGCCTGGTGTGGATCCTAGCACCACGTTAAATACTAAAGAAATACGGAAGCAGAGCAGCTGTTTCCCCACAGGATCTCTTTATTTCTGTTCCACTTTCAATCCACTGGAATAGAATTTTCTAGACCTAGCTCTGCCATGTGTAACTTTGGGGAAGCTGCAAAACTGCCTTCTGGGCCCTGTCCCTCTATGTCTAAAGTGAGTGTGGGACGTGGTCAGAGTCTCTCTGGCCTCTTGGATGGGCTCCTTTGAGGTATTCCTGTGACTGGTTATTTTACTTTCTCGCCCTTATTTCTACCTGCGCCCTTTTCCCATGCAGGAACACACCTGCAAGGATGCTTTGTTTCTTTCCCTGTGGCGCCCCCATCTAACTTGCTACATTTCTGTTCTAGAGTACATTCTGGGCACTGTGCACAAGGCCAAAGGCTTAGAGTTTGACACTGTGCATGTTTTGGATGATTTCGTGAAAGTGCCTTGTGCCAGGCATAATCTTGCCCAGCTTCCTCACTTCAGAGTTGGTAAGGACACTGGGTTGGGACACAGGAGCTCTTGGGGTGCTCCTGTTTTGTAGCTGGAGTTGACTCCTTTGGTTTGGATGGGATAGGATAGCCTCCTGTTCTAGTCACACCTAGGCCTACACTTCTGATTCTGTGGTTTTAGGGAAGCCAGGCTTCCATGGGGTCTTTCTCAGGTGGCTGATAGGATATTATCATGATGTCCCTGTGAACAGAACTCCCCATCAGCTTTGGGCTTTGCATCATCAGACACAAATGGTATGTCCCAGCCTCATGCAATTCCCAAACATCAGTGTGCTTACTCAGCAAGAGAAACGTTATTATTTGTAGTGCTAGAGGTTGAAAAGAGAGCCCTGCAGGTTCCGGTGCTGGATCCCATCCCCCACCTGTCTGTCCATTGCCGCTTCATCAGGGGTTCTCCAGGATCATTGTTGAAGTCTGCCCATTAGTGCTTTTGTTTTGACTTTAAATCTCAGAATAAAAGCTTAGGAGATGGTGCTTCAGGGGAAAGAAAAGTGGTTCTGGAAAGGAGAGGAGAGGAGGTGCAGCCTCTGGGAGTGACAGCACTAATAAGGGGGCTCAAGGCCTTAAAGGTGGTGGTGGTGCAGTGAAGGTCAGACACATTCTAGTGAAAAACATGACAGAATCGTGGAAGCCATGGGAAAGTTAAAGTCTGGAATGAGTTCAGAGACGTGACCACACAATTCAGAAAAGATAAAGCCAGGCAAGGGGGTGACCTGGGTTGGATGAACAGAGGGTCCATGGTAAGACCATTTCAAGAAGCAGCATTTGCCTCACCTATAAGTGGGATGATTAAGCCTGTATTTACAGACCCACCAGTTAAAACAGAATCTGGATATCATATTATTATTGTTGAAGAGAGAAAATAAAATCACATGAGAGACTGAAAAAAAAATCTCAGAATTAAAGCATTTGAAGTTTCCAAACCAAATAAGTTCTTTTAATACTTAATACTTTTTTTGGACATTTCTTCCAGTAAGATATGACTTACACATTGCATAGCCCATCCATTCAGATTGTGCGTATGATTCACTGGCTGCCAGTCTATTTGTAGACTGCTAGGTATTGAGCCTGCAAGATGATAGATGTGAGGCGGGCTTAGAAATGTGTCATCTTCATAAAGCAAAGAAGAACCAGCCTGCAATTCACAGTTTCAGAGAACCTAGACAACAAAGAGGACCCTAAGACAGCCATACATGGATCTAATTACATGGGAAGCAGAAAAAGACAAGATCTCCTGAGTAAATTGGAAGTGTGGGAAATTATGGGAGAAGGTAGAAGGGGAGGGGAGAGGAAGGAGGGTAGCAGAGAAAAATATATAGCTCAATAACAGCAATTTAAAAAAAGAAAAAAGAGAAAGAAGTGTGTCATCTTCCTTGTGATGATGTGAGGCAGTTCCAGATTAGAGTGGACTAATCCAGATAGACACTGAAGGAAACTGGGAGGAGCACAGGCCTTGGTTCATATCTGCCCCTTAATTAGTGTTAGGCTCATTTGTGAATGAGGTATCCTCTGTACACCACAGTCTCACTGTCTGCCTCACTGACCAAAAAAAAGTGGGGCAAAACACATTAGTATCCACTGAGTCCATTGCACACATTAGTATCCACTGAGTCCTTTGCACACATTAGTATCTGCTGGATCCATTGCACACATTAGTATCTGCTGGGTCCATTGCACACATTAGTATCTGCTGGGTCCATTGCACACATTAGTATCTGCTGGGTCCATTGCACACGTTAGTATCTGCTGGGTCCATTGCACACATTAGTATACATTAGTATCTGCTGGGTCCATTGCACACGTTAGTATCTGCTGAGACCATTGTACACATTAGTATCCAGTGGGTTCATTGCAGATGTTGAATAGTTAGTTAACGTAGTTCTAAGATTTACTGTGTAGCAAGACTAAAAAGAAATAACTACTTTGTGTAATTAGTTATTGAGGTTTTTGTTTGTTTTCATATGGGATTTGTAGGAAAATTTTGTGTATATATAGTTGAGAGGCTTGTAAGGCATCAGTGAGAAGTTCCAAGCATTTAGATGAGAAAATGAGTTTTTGCAGGTAGGGTTTTGAATTGTTTGTTCTCCTTTTCTTAGAGTCATTTTCTGAGGATGAATGGAATTTGCTGTATGTTGCTGTCACTCGTGCCAAGAAGCGCCTCATAATGACCAAATCACTGGAGAACATTCTGACTCTGGCTGGGGTAAGGGAAATGGGTAATTGGAGTTACTTTCCTACTGTTTGCAGGATCAGCCTGAGCCTTAAGATGAGGGTGCTGAGTGACCTCATAAGTGCACAGAGACAAGGTCACTAGAGTAGTAGTATTCTAACCAATGAAATGAGCAAGTGCATTCATGCCAGACTGCACAGGTCTGTTTAAAATATCAGTGGTTTTTATATATTTATAATTCTGCATTTGTTCAGCCAATTCACCTTTCCTGGGGGAAAATTGGCAAATTCATGTTTTGTAACCCCCCCCCCCCCCCGCTCCTTTTGAAATGGCACCTGCTGGGGCTGGAGAGATGGTTCAGAGGTTAAGAGCATTGCCTGCTCTTCCAAAGGTCCTGAGTTCAATTCCCAGCAACCACATGGTAGCTCACAACCATCTGTAATGCCCTCTCCTGGCCTGCAGGCATACACACAGATAGAATATTGTATACATAATAAATAAATATTTTTTTTTAAAAAAAAAACAGAAATGGCACCTGTTTATGGGGGACATGAGTCTCTAGGTATCTGGGCCAATTCTTCTGAGGAGATGCAAGAAAATGAGCTCACTTATATTTAGTCTTCTATTGCAGCTCTCAACCTTCGCCCTCCACAAACGACTTGCTCTCCATCCGTGCCTTATCACTTTCTGTCCTGCTTTTTCACAGGCATAGATGTAGACAGTTTAGTCTTACCAGCCTTGAGTTTGCATTAACAGCCACTAATGTGCTTCTTTCTCTGAAGCAACCAAATTTGCTTAAG